ACTCTTTCTTGGGATCGTTCATAAGTGGACTGTACGAACTGCCGGAAATAGTCAGTAATGTGTCTTAGGAGAATATCTCATTTAAATGTGTATACTGTTCTTCCTGTGTCATAGAGTCAGCTATTTCGCGTCGCCTCGTATCTTTTGCGTATTTTGATTATGCTGTACCTCCAGTTATTGTTGCACTACCTATGGTTTCCTTTCTTGAACAGTGGTAGTGCAATTCCGGTCTTCAAGTCCGCTCTTGTCTTACCCGTCACCATTGCTGTTTGGTGTACACGTATAAGCTAGCACACGCCTTTTTTCTATTGCGTTTAGCACGTCAGGGCAGATTTCATCAATTCCAGCAGCCTTTCGAAATTTCAAGTTTTCACAGTCTGTGTGTCGTAATTGACAGAAATGCTAATATCCGTTTCCTGCTGCTCTATATTCGAGTTTTCTTCCAGTTGTTCAAACTTAAGGGATTCGTCAAGGTACTCTCTTCACCACCAAAAGAATGTACTCTTTTTGGATTATGGAATGTCCAGACCTTCATCTTCTTCATCTTCCATCGCCGCTGCTCTTTTCAGGTCGCGGACACAGGTCAGACAGCTTCCAACGTTACCGATCCTGTGCCACAGTCTCAGCTTCGGCAAAAAACAAATGGAGTCTCGAACAGACTCCTTCCATATGTTTGCACCAGGTTAATCTTGGCTGTCCCATGGGCCTTTTGCCGGTCAGATTTGTAAGGAACAGTTGCTTAGCCTTCCTTTCTGGAGGCATTCGCAACACATGCCCAAGCCATCGCAGCTGTGACTCTTCAATCTGGAAAAGCAAAAGCTTTGTTCCAAGGCTCTTCCAGATGTCACTAATCCGGACCATGTCGAGACGCGTAAGGCCAGCGACTCGTCTAAGAAAGCCCATTTCAGCAGCTTATACCCGAGTTCGAAGTTTTTCAGTGATGGTTCACGATTCATGACCGTAGGTAAGGATGGGGTTAAAGATCGACTTGAATATTGAGAGCTTAGTTTTCATACTGAGCTCTTCTTTAATCACAATGGGTCGGGCTAGTTCACGCAGAACGCG